TTGAGTTTGAAGAGAAGGGTGGTGAGGACCCAAAACATGATTTTATTAAGTTCCTTAACAAGGTAAATGTGGGTACAGAGCTACTATTGGGTGCATTTATATGCATGATTCTGCTTTTAGTGCTCTCCTTTCCCAACATTCGAAATGAAAGAAAAGCATCATCGGATGACAATAATATTGGGGTTCCAAATAAATTTATTTACTTTTCTTTGGAATTTTCCAATATCTTTATGTATTGAGCTATTACATTTTTAAATAAACTTATCTGTAAGTTATACAACAAGAGATAGAAGATAATTAGTTTTTGCTTTCTACTCCAAGATGGCCCAAGATCATTTTTATTCCTTACATCCCTTTAGACTTCATTCCAATCTCTTTTTTATCTTTCTTCAACATTTCTCAAGTATATCTCGTTATTTCTAGTATATAATTTAAGCTTTTTAAAATTGGCTAGTCGATGAAAAAAAAAGGTAATTAATTAGAAAGGTTAGATAAAAATCAGATTGCTTGAATCGAATTATTGCTAGTTATTTGAATTATTGATTTTTTGACATAGGTTATACTTTGTTTTTTTCTTTTTCTTTTACATTGGGGGTAAAACTTGAACCACATATTTCTAAACTTAGATGAGAAGTCCCTAACAAGGAGATGATAGCCATTCAGCCACGGCATTCTTAGATTATACTTTGTTTTTGGTTACTGAACTTTGGTATGGAAGGCCCTTTGTGATCTGCCAAGATTATTTTCTCAGCCTATTTTTGGGTCTTCAACTAAAGAAATTCCTTTGTTGGTCACTCAATTATTTTCCCAGTCCCTTTTAGTCCCTCAAAATTATTTTCCCAATCCTTTTTGGTCCCACCTAAAAGCCATAATATTGAGGGACCAAAATTGAAAGGGCATTCTCTCAATTGAGGAGGGGAGTTTTAAGGCTGTTAAAGAGTCGAGTTGAGTTGAGTAATTAGATACGCATGTTTGAGCTCGTATTAAAAATTCAAGATTGAGTTGAGCTTGAGTATTTATTGAACCCAAAATAATTGCGTTCATACTCAAATTCACAAGTATTTCAATAAGCTCTA